ACTATATATATTTATATTTTTTTATTTATAGAGCTGTTTATTCTCTGTTCAGAATTTCTGTTAACAGCTTCTCTTAGATGCTTTCTTTTACATACTCATGCACTGCTGGGGTAGGCAGTGATGCGATTCTTTTTCTTCTTCTCCAATCTAATTTTCATTTTCTTTTCTTGTAGTCCTGGAAAGACTCTCCTATGTAATCCAATAAATCAGTTGCATTTATGGGTTAGATGAGTTAGTATATCCACAGGAACAAGCAGACACAATGTGCTGAGTGGCAGTACTACACAGTCTGAGAGGAGAAGCTTTGTAGACTTCCTTCTGCTCTTTTTGCAGAAACAAAGAGCATTGGTTAATGGATTCTGGCAGCCCCTTTCTAAACACCGAGGCGGCGACTGCAAGCCCTGTTGCAGGGCTCCAGCTAACCATGAGTTTCATTTTCACTTTGTGCTGATTTGGCAGTTCAAAAGTATTTTTTTTAAAAAAAAAAAGCTAAATAGCCAGCTGCAAATAAAAAATGCTTGAAGGTTTTTCTTAGTTCTGCCCTGAAACTTCCGTTTTTATTTCTTTTTTTTAAATCTAATACTTCAAAACTTAGTATTAAGATGTTAAAATCTGTTCTTATGGAGCTGCTGATTGAAAATGTCAGGGTTTGGCTACACGTTATCAAACTGTTTATATTCTCTTTAGGACTGATAAACTCCCGATTTCCTAATGTATGTCCAAGTTTACAGAATGCTAATATAACCTTAAAATAATATGTTGATCTGCCCTGTCAATTCATGTTGTTCTATTTAAAAGAATTTGCTGTATAGAGCTTTTGGAAGAGTCTTTTCTGTGACCTGAAAGCTACGAGAGCCATAGGCTGGCCCTTCTGTCACCTGTGTCTCACATATGTCTGTGTGATTGCGTTCCAAGGTATTCTGCTACTGCTAAAACCAAAATCATACCACTTAACAACACTGTGATGGAAGCATCATTAGCTAGGACTTCATTATACACCAGCTCCCTCAACTCCAGCTTATGGAAAACAGCCAGGTGGGGCTTGCTGGGAAGAGCCGTTAATGCAGGAGAATCCAGGCTTTGCCCGCTTACTTGGAGTCAGAGGACAGTGTTAATCCCGAGTCAAAGTAGATCGCAATGCTTTATTGTGTTTAAATGTCTTCAAAGACCTGGTGACTGTATGTCCCAGCTTGATTGCGTAAAGCTCCGTGAGCTGTGTCAGGTCTCAAACAGCGCTTCCATCTCCTCTCAACCAGCACGTTTGCTTTGCAAATTGATTTTTAATTGTGAGTCAGCTCTTGTTTGCTTAATGCTTCTGTAGCCGTCATATCCTGATGGCAGGCAAGAAATTTCATATGCTCTCTAGGGTGAAAGTAAGTATGGGGCTTCTGTGATTAAACAAACTTCTAAATTTGAAACTTATGCCAGAAGAGTACCTTTAGGTTTGCTTGTAATGTAGTACCATTTTTTTGTTGGGGCTGGGAGGGATATGCCAAAACCCTGCCTGTTTCAAGAAGTCACAGTGTTTTCAATTGTTAATGGCTTATATAAAAAGAGAAATCATTTAAGTGTAAAGGATAGAGAATAATGGAAAAAATGTGGTTTCATTCATATTGCTTCACCTCATTCATTGTTCTCTAAAGAAGCGTTGCCTGCTTGCTTTCCTCTTGTTTTAGCTGTAGGTTATTCTTAGCACCAACAACTTGATCCACGCTCTTTTTTTTTTTTTTTTTTTTTTTTTCTTTCTCCAGCATTGCCATGGCAACTAAAGAAAATATGACTTCGCAGAGAGGGATGTTGAAGTCAATACAAAGCAAGATGAATACCTTGGCTAGTATCCTTTCCTAAAAATTTGTGTTGCCAGTGCATAAGAAGAGGTATAGTACAATTTTTCACTCTGTCATCTGGGGATCAAAATGTTTTACGATGTCAGTGGCTGTATAACCTGTAGTGGTATTGTCATTAGTGACAAACAGACCATTTTTTAACCAGTCTCACTTGATAATTGGACTGAAGCATCTTAATGATGAATGTGGTGAATAAGTTATTTTTACTCAAATTTAAATAGTGCATATAAATGAATGTAGCTTAATTTTCAGGTAGAGATCTGCAACGGCATTTTATGGCCTTCCCTGTTATATGTTTTTGTTGAAGTATAATTTCATTTTACTTCTTGCTTTTTGCTTTCAAGACTGCCCAGAGCTGAAGCGTGGCATACATTGCTGCTTGTTATGGTTTACAGCTAAGAGTATTCATGACCTGAGTATCCTCTTGTCTGTCACAGTCTTGTAGATGATGATGGTTTCTCCTCATACTCTGTGCGTATGGCTAAAGAATGTGCCGGACTGTCAAGTCATACGTGTTTGTTGTTTTCTCACTTATTTCTTCCTTTCTGTCATAAGGGCCTGAAGAATACAGTTAGCATCATTTGATTAGACAGATTACATGCTGAAGAGATGTATCTTGGTAACCCATAAATCTCATTACAGTTCTTAGCAACTGGTAAGAACAAAAAAAAATTCAATAAGCTTTGTCCTTAAAGGATTCTTGGTTCCAAAGACATGAAGCTCTGAAACTTATTATCTTGCTGGCAATTGTATCTTGTACATTAAAAGATAGATTTACATCTTTAGGATTTTTACAGTAGGAGGAGTTCTTCCTTATGTGCTATACTTGAACAGTGCATAGTCATGCAACGTGCATGATTTTCTCAGTCAAATGCCTTTGGTTGTTCCCTTCACCAGTAACAGAATTCCATTAAATAAATTCCACAGATGTTTTATGTAACTGCCCCATTTATTTTTTTTTCATTCTCATTTAAACACAATTATTAAAAGTAACTAAGCCTCACATATTGGAGATTAAAGTGTATCAAACTCTGGTAATTTAGGCGATCAGGTGATGATTTCTGTGGAAATGCGAACTCTAAGCTGTTCTGTTCTCTCTTTTCTCTGATTGTCTGTTTTTAGTGAAGTACAGTTGTAATCCTGCTAACTACCCATCAGGTGTTTTTACTGCACCTGCTTTCTCCAGCTTGGGAGTAGTTCGGCATTTCTTGCAGTATTGGGATTTCCACATACAGATTTGGGGCTTGTTAGTGAAGATACTGTTTGCTGATAATGCCCTTGACTCAGACTGCTTAAAGATCGGTTTCCAGCAGTGAACAGCCTGATTCAAAGGATCAACCTTCGGAAACGACGAGATTCTCTCATCTTGGGTGGCATTATTGGCATCTGTACCATCCTACTGCTGCTATATGCTTTTCATTGATGGATGTTCCCCCATGGACTCTGCTAAACTCATCACCACCATCCCTCCCCCCCAGTCAAGGAAAAGTGAGTGGGGGAAGAGACAGACTTCAAACAGCCTGCTCGTTACGGCTGGGAGTATCAGCATGACGGCTAGAACTTACGAGGGTAGACTGCGACACTGGTTTTGGGTTGAAGCTGCAGTGTTTCTCCTTCCCTGCCATGCATTTTCCTTTGGTTAAATTTTGTGGGATTTGTTTGTCTTTAATTCACTTTCTCACTGCAAGGTAGGTAAATAGGGGATGCTTACCAGAACTGGTCGAACAGTTTCTGTGCTCGGCGGCGCTGGGGAGGCCTGTTGTTGGCTGGTAAGTGGGAAAAGATTGTTATGCTTGCCTTGGGTGGAAACTCTACAGGAAGCCTGTTTCCCCTGTAGGCCAAGCACAGTACTGAACACTTTTGCCCTGTGAGAAGAATATTGCAGCTTTAAGCCGTCAGGTTGCTTTACTACTAAATACATGTTCTGTAATTCCTTTTAATTCCTGGTTGAGATACTAGATTATTTCTGCATAATTTGTGCTGTGAAAACTGTGCTTCACACAAATTCCTCAAAAGTTTAAAAAAAAAAAAAAAAAAAAAGTTGTTCAGTTCACTTTTTGCACAGAATATGAATAAACTACCCTCTGAGGAAGATTTATAAGGTTTCTTGTGGCTTTAAAGGGACTAACAAGTCCCCCTTTGTAAAAAGGGAGCACGGTGTCCTAGCAGCTGTTTACTATAGTGTTCAGTCATCTGAAAAGTGACCAAACATGAGTTCACCTAAAAGTAGTCTTTTGGGTGTAAATACTTTGATTTTGGCTGGCATCATAAAGGTCTTTATAAAGACATGATAAGCAGTTGAAAAGTCTATATTGTAATTTAGATAAAGTTATTCTAATAGCGTTAATATTTTTACACTGTAAGTAGGATATAATCTAAACTGTCAATTGGAAATTAAAATTATGATGGTTATACCTGAGGCAAACGTATCTGCGTGCAAAATTTTTGGACATAACTCCTCATAGTAAAGAGTTGAATGTATGAATAGTGAAACAAGTATTACTTATTATCTGGGGGGAGGTAGAATTTTTTTTTTGTCCAGACATGCAACATGAATCCTGTTGTGTTTGCATCTCTAAACAAAGCTGATGTCAGGAATGGCTTGATATTGCAGATTCACAGATTATGGATTTTTTCTGCTATTTCAACGGCTCTTTTCCATCTGTCCTAGCATAACCCACTGAATTCAAACTGAGGCACTGAAATATCTTTTGAAGAACTTGATTACCTCTTTTCACAATCAATTTACAGTGCTCCTAACAGATTTCATGTATGCCGTTACCCACAAATGTCAGATAGTCTCCAGGTTCTGTTCTGGAACAAAGTCTAGCGGGACGGACGCAATTTTTTTACTGCTTTTTATAGTGTCTGTGAAGTACCTGTTGGAGGGAGTAGAGACTTGTGCCTGTGTAGTGTGCAAAACCACACTGTTGACCCTAAAATGTTTGTATGAATTTGAAGGCTTATTTGCAGACTAATAACTTTGTGCTAAAAAGTCAACAAAGGCTTCTTATCAGTCATCTTGTCATTGGGATTAGAAAGCATTTGGAATTAATACGTGGAAAACTGTGGGGCTTGTATTTTAAATAAAGGGTGATTATTTGATTGATTTGGGAATGTTCCTGGTTTGAAATGAAGTGTTCATTAAAGGGGATTATGAAAAACCTTGAGGGATAAAGGAGGTTTATTAAAGAATCTGTGTGTTGGGATACGAAACCTCTTCTCCCCAATGCTTTTTCTTTGATTCCACCACCACCCAAAGGGACCCTGATCCGCAGTCGTGCTTCTGTTTAGGATTTGTAGGATTTGGTTGCTATATAGTTGGCAATATGAAAGCTGCAGTACCATAAATAAATTCACTTATTTAATCTTATAACCAGTCTTTTTGCTGGACTTAATTGATTATTTGGTGCATATATTTAATCTTATTGTGTGAAAAAGCTGCTATGGAAAATATGAAGATTATAATAAATATGTAACCATAATTGATTTTTCATGTTATGAAAATGTTATGGAGGAACTGATATATTTTAGTATAAAAGAATTGAAATATGCTGAATTATCTCTGATAAAGCTTTACTGGAAATGGTTTCAGTGTTGGCAACCCCTCCGTGGTTTTTATTTGTGTTGGTTTTGAGACAGAGTTTTGTGTTGAAAAATACATTTAATTAACCTTGTAGTCTCCCCTTCGTCATCATCTTGTAGTCCTCTCGCAGCGTGAGCCGGCGTTCTGCCTTGCTCTCTAGAGTGGTGTGCTTGCATATAGCCAAGGGAAAAAACTTGCCGATTCTTCTGAACATCCCTAGTAACATGGATCTGTAGTTAGGGCAGTGGACTGTAAATGAAAACAGTGGATTGTAGTATTTAATCTCAAACCCCAAAACATAGGTTTGTATGTCTCCTCTTGCGAAATACGTTCTCTATGTTTTTCATTCTGTGTCGTTCCTCTTGCTCCACGGAAAAAAAATGTGGTTAAAGAATTCTTGTTTCTGTAATTCCTGGCAAAGTTGCAGTTTCGTAACTCAACCAAATAGAATTGTGCTAAGAAAACTATTGCTAAGGCATACAAAGGAAGTGAGAAGATCCATAATATTTCTACAGGGCACATTTCCCACCCTCCCACCCCCACTTTTTAAATTTCTGCTTTATTCTTGCCAGTATGCAAGCACCTATTTTAAACCTGTCCAACAACCCCTTAGCTCGGCGTTAGAACATAAGGGTTCATATTGATAACTTTTGATACCACGCTTCACACGGACACGAATATTTTTATCCTTGCTTTTTAGACTGTTTTTTTTACGTGGTTATCTGATCTTCAAGCGCTGGTTGCTAGAGCAGAGGAATGGCATTCGGGCAACACCCAGCATTGCGTGTTCAGTCAATAGTGAGTGTTTGTGTGACTTCTCCCCAGCCCTTCGCGGGGGGGGTGCCTGAGCCGGGGTGGAGGCAGGAATTTGCTATCCTGTGTGCCTCTGGGACCAAGCAGCGTGGTGCTTCTGGTTTTACGAGAGTTTGCCCTTCCAGGGAAGGCACAACACTTTTTATTAACCAATATTGATTTCAGGAGGTTTTGGATATCTTAAGTGTGATATAAATTCTTGCTGGATTCGTTACACTGAAGAATCAACTAGAATTTTTCATTTGTAGTTTTAGAAGTCTGTCCTTTTGGACAGTCTTAAGATTCCTGTGAGGAGAAAGAGTCAGTTCCTCGCTTGATGTTGAAAGCGAAAGAGCAAAAGTAGATTTTTTTAAGCGACGTTGAAGTTTCAGATAAATTGTCCTCCAGGGCTGCGTCCCCTGGGAAGCTGCGTTCCTGAAGCTCCCCCAAAACTGCTGCACAGGGAGCAAAGCCGGGTCCACCACTTCTCATTGTGTAACTCGTGTGGTCGGGACTATTGTAACTCTCTAAACCTAGCAGCTTGTTTCCCAAGATCACCTGGTGCATAACCTTTTCCTATTTTTACTTTTTCCCCAAAGCTTTTATTTGAAACAGGAAGGAGAGGTAACAGCTCTATCCCTTCTGAAGGAGGAAATCATTCTGAAACTCCTTATAACAGTATCGGATGATGAAATCCTTCAGAGCAGTGGTTCTATTGAGTAATATGCAGTGCAGGAGACTACAATGAAAGACGTACTGAGACAAAACTGAGCCATATTCTAGGTGACATCTGCAAGTCCTCTTGGTGCCCCACACCTCTCCTGTCGACTGGATGTTTGAAACCAGTGTTATGCTTTCAGTTCTGAATACCTAAGTGGTTGTTGGTCTGTCTACTACTGAGTGAGGAAAGCAGTTTAAATAAACACTTGACAAAAAAACAAAACCCTTTCTCACAAAATATCTCAGTCCAGACCCTTGTAAATGATTTTCTGATTGCACTTTCTGATTATTTTTTTTTTTGCTTTTCATATAGCTTCTTGAAACTTATTTTATTGTAACTGTAATTATTTTTGTTCTCATCTATTGTGCATTCTCTGTCTGTATTAAAAAAGCTTTGATATGTGATTTAATAATAAATTAGAATTCTAAGCAAGGTGCTTGGTTCTTTCCCCATGACAATCTGCCTACCTAAGCTTCACGGAGGATGCAAGATTCATCTCTCCGGTTTGGGATTGTTACTGAATACACGAATTAGTTTGTTCTCCATTTTTGTACCAAATACCAGATGTGATGGAGCATTTCCTGGCCCAAGGTGCTTGGTTTGGTGGGATGTGCTCCTCCTGCCTGCGTGTGCATCCGCATTGGAAAAGTCTGAACATAGTTGTGACCTTTTTTCTTGCTGTTGTTTGACAGATGGAGCAAGGATGGTTTTCTTTACAGGTAAGCTTTAAAAAGTTTTCTATATATCTGTAGTATAAAACATTTAATTCCCAAATGCACACTAAAAGTGATGTTGATCTGAAGAGCCTTCTCAGCATCAGGTGCCTCCCCCCTTTTTAATACACTTCTCAGTAGTTTGGTACCTTTTTTTTTTTCACCCCCCTCTGCAATCACAACACAAACACCAAAAATAAGTCGATACTTTGAACATGGTACAGGCAATCGTAAAAACTGTCTCCGTGAAGTTCTGTCGCACCCTGTAGTTTTCTAGCCGTGCTGTGGTCTGGACCACCTCCATCCTCGGGTGCTCAAACCAGGCAGCGTCGTGCCTGAAGCACCCATCTGTATCTGATGTTTCTGAAATCGGTGCTAAATCTTTCAAGGCCACTCATATTTCTTTTCTCAAACAAGAAAATCTGCCTGGCAGTGTGATACCTGTCTATTTGCGTGAGGCTCAGAGTGAAGAGAGGTAGCTCGTTTCAGAGCTGTTGTGCTGTGTCTGTAGTGCTGCTTTAAAGTGGAGATGGATTTCTGTATCCTTAATGTGCCTACTAAACATTCGGGAATGACCATACGCTTTCTCAAGGGAAGGCTTTGACTGTATG